TAAATCTCCCGTAGACAGCTGCTCAGATCAGATCAGAACATATTTAAAAGATGAAAGACGACATGAGGAGCAATTTCTCATTTAGACTGGAGAGGAAGGCCTCCAACTGATGTATTCTTGCTATAAATGGATTTTGGCCAAGACACAAAGCTTCGTCCACAAGAAAATATGGTAGTTGGTTTGCTTTTATCCTGAAAATCTGTAGACAGACAATGACAAGAATTCCACTATAAGAAAGGGATGTAAATGATGAATAAAACTAACTTAAAAAAAAAATGCATGTTAGAATAGCTAATAGATTTGGGGCATGGAAATGGGAATGAAGTTATGACTTAGGCATGTGTGAAGTACATGTCCTCTAAATCTCATAGTAAAGCTCTACTTGGTTGTTTTGGGTTGGTTTTTTTTTTTTTGGTTCTTTTGTTTTGTTGGTTGGTTTGGGTTTTTGTTTGGTTTTTGGTTTTGTTTTTTGTTTTTTTAGTGACTAGGCCTTTAACCAATCACTGGGGTGCAGACTGGTACTGTTTATTAATTTATTAGCTGTTGTGATGAGGGTGTAAGACTGAGAGGAAGTCTCTAGATGATGGGTCATTCAGCCAAAAAACTGAAATTAATCCTCTCTGCTCCTAAAGAGAAAAACAAGACCAGAAGAAGGGTGGCAGATAAATAAGCTACAAAGAAGTACATAAGATACAAAGTTAGCTTAAAAAGAATCTTATTTTATTGTATTTTTAAATTGACAATAGAGGCTTAGAGGAAGAGAAAGGAGAAAGACCTGAATTTCCACCTGCATTTTACCTGGGGTATGTAAATACAATTTTTTTTTTTTTTGTCCCAGGAGAAAGAAATAAAAAGGGATGGAAGACCTGATTGGTCTAATGCCCCATTTTCATTGTTGTACAGCATTTTGGTGAGTCTCAGTCCAGAGGAGCCCTGGCATGGCGTGGCCTCAAGCTGGATGTGCCTGGAGACGTGCACAGTTGGGTATTTTTGGTCAGGCACAGGCAGTCACAGCTGTTGCTATTTTTGCCCTGACTCCTCTCTAATCACTCAACACATTTTAAAGCAAGATATAATGATAGACTATGTTGCCAACACAGAAAAATCAACAGAGTATCTAAGGGAATATGAAAAGAAATGAAAATTCAAAATGTATCTGGAAGAGAAATATAATGGACAAAAAAACTTTTGATAAAGGCTGTTCTACAAACTTGGCAATGTCTTTGCTAGAAGTAAATATGACTGTCTGCCTGCCTTGCTTTATGTTCAATACATCCAAAATTGGGGGGGTGTGGAGGAAATACAAGGAAGTCTCTTCTCTTGGTGTGGCCAGCTGAGTTTTCAGGCCTAATCCATTCTGAAATTAAAATTAGCTCAAATAGTTGGACTCTACCAGGAAGTTTAAAATGGAGAATTTCCTTCATAAATATGGATAAGAAGAAGACAACTTTTTGGATGTTCTACACAGTGACTTCCACCAGAAAAACAAAATCTCCCTCTATTTTCCCATCAGTTTACCAATGTTCTCACTGAACTTCAAATATTATTTTATACATGACCTAAACTAGAACTCCCTGTTACTACTTATGAAGTATCTGTGGATTTATCGTGGTATTTTTAGTGGTAACCATTGATTCTCCTTATATGGCAGCCAAGGATGAAATTTCATTAACCTGAGCACTGCTGGATCAAACATGAGAAGTAGTGGAACCCCTTTGATAAAAACAAGTTAGGAAACACCTTGATTTAGCACTCCCCTTCTGTGGAGGGATAGAATGTAAGAAAATAAAGATAGTGCAGAAGGTAGTGTCACACCTGAGGAGCTGCAGCTGTACAAATCACCAAAGATTAGGAACAGGCCTGCCCTTAATGGGCCACAGCTGTGTCCAATAAGAAGATGAGTGCTACAAAAGGGTTGGAGTGAGGTGAGGGTTGGAGTTTGTTGGTTGTGCTGTGAAGAAGAAAGAGTAGTGCTCTGAGGAGTTACCCATGAGAAATCACCAAGAAGGTATGGGAGCTTTCACAATAAGATGACAACATTTAATTTAGCACTCCTCCTCTAAAGAATAAAAGCCCTAGTCCAAACCAAGCTGACATAAGTTGAACAACTTTTATTTCTGATATCAAATATCAACTTGCATTTTCTGATATCAAAGTTGTGACTGCAAATCATGGTGAATTAGGCATAATCCAGATATGCTTCTCTGTCCTTCAATGTAAATACTCTTTCCATCTCCACTTGGGGGGTGGGAGATGCTTTATTAATAGTATTATTTTTGACAAATAGTAGTGTTTAGAATACCTAGTAGTGTTTCCTGGTAAATAAATTCCATTGTAATGGTAAAAAAGAAGTTTCATTCTGAATCCAGTACTCCATCTACCAGGCATTGTAGAAGGTAAAATAAGTGATTTTCTGGAAACAGAGCATTGGTAATTAGTAAAGATTCATCATACATTGCATCTACATTAGGAAAGCACTTGCTCAACAGGACAAAGTCTGTACCTGCAGAGTTCCTTGCACCCCAAGGGTCATCCCAACAGCTCCTGTGGGGCTGGGGCTCCCCAGTCCCCTCATCCCTTGGAGGGTTACACAGAGCACAGGTTCCTCCACAGCCCCAGCTGGAGCCCAGCCAAGCAATTGGGGTGTCACATCTACAGGTGTATATTTGATCCTCAGCAAGGGCCAATGTGAGGGCACACAAAACAGCTCTCTTTGCTGTCAGTGTTGCTGTTAGGCTTTAAAATACTTTCTGAAGGCAAAACTGCAGTGTAAAATATATCTGTGGATGTTACTTGCCAGATTTCCTCATGAATAAACTGCACTTCCTCTGTTTGAATTACAAATTGCTATAACATAATAGAGGAGATTGATGGCTAGCACTGAAACTATGTGAAAAAGGAGAAAAGGCTGTGGTTTACAAGCTGTGTAGGAGGTCCATTCTAAGTCAACACGGAAGCTCTTAAATTTTATATGCAGGATTTCATAACCAGTATTTTGGATTGTTTCAAGTGATGCAATCAGAATTGTTTTGCTTCAAACCCACCTGATTTACTAATTCTGACCAGAAGTATGACCTAACTGCATTTCAGACTGGATTTTTTCAGATGACATTGATTTTGGATGTTATATTGGGAGCTTCAAAATTTTACAATTGGCCCAAATGACTTTTTAGATCCGACTGAATTTGTCATGTGAATTATGCTTTTCATGGCTTAGCTGATACAGGGATAGCATGTTGGGGGTGTTTCCCATAAATGCAATTAACACTTTTCTAGCACAAATGATGAGGGCAAATCTCAGGCAATTTGTGCAGCTTTGAATATTCAGAATATTCATTTCCTTAAAAAACTTCTCTGGTTCATTATGGTACCAGCTTACCTTTAATCTCAGGATTGTCTTTTTGATTTCTTTGTTTAACAGAAACGTATGTTAAAAGAAATAATAATAGTAACTCTTATCACATCTCTTATATTGAGAAAAGACCATTTGGAGAAGAGAGTCAGTTGCTAAAGATACTTTTAGTACTTGTGAGTATATCCTGAAAGCCTGTAAAAGCAGTTTCTTTAAAGACAAATACATACTAAGCTCCTCTTGTACTTGTGAACCCAGTGATAACCACTATCAGCACATCAAGATCATTAAATCTAAGTAATGTAATTGAATCTAATATTATTGAGACTAAATATATGTAAATAATACGCATTCTAAACTGTGACATCTCTAGTCTGCCCCAGGTACTCCCATTAAATAGCTGCACACACAACAGGGATAATCTGATCCTGTTTCACTGTTGGGATTTCTTAGCAGCATTTTACCTTGTGCACAGAAATATTGAGGATCTTCAACTGACTGAGAAGAATAACCCCTAAGTGGGCATACAGGTGAAGAGTTTTATAGGGTGAAAAATGCTAAACTTATTTAACCAAAAACTGGGTAAACACCCACGGGGACACAAATTCCAAGCTAAAAGCCTTCTGAAGGTTTTAGAAGTAAGGGGGTAAAAGTGCTGAAGTGAAGTCAAAATACCTCTACATGAAAGTGAAGTTTATAGGAGTATTCACTGTGGTCATTTTTTCCAGATTCAGCCTTATTCTAGATATTGTGCTTTATTTTCCTATGTAAATAGCTTTTAAAAATGTCATGTTAAAATATTTCTGCTAAGGGTAAATGGATTAGATTAGTTTAGAAGTTTAACTGCTTCATTTATTTGTTGCACCTTGAAAGAAGAAAACTAAAATCCCACTACCCAGTATGCAGCTACATCTCATTATGCAAAGTCATCCTCAGGTAATACCTGTGCCCATATAAAATAATAGAAGTTAAGGCAATTAGGAAAAAAGTATTTAAAACAGCAACAGCATGTGATACCAATTATGTTACAGCCAAAAATAATACTTTTTGGCACGTTATGCTTAAACTATGTTCTGTTAATGTGCCTTGGATATAGGCAGATTTCAATTTACACTTAGAAATATTTATATTTGAGAACTATTTGGAAAATATTTTGAAATTACGATTTAAAAGCATGTGAAACGGGTTACCTCCCACAATTTTTGTGAACTACTGTAAAGCAGAGCTGCATTAGCTTCCCTGCAACTAATGAACCATGTCATTAATTACAGACATTCAAAACAGAAATTATTCCAAGGCAAGACAAATATTTACTATAAATAAAAGGGTCAAGAACTACAAAGTAGCCATTTTTATTCTAAACCAATTGTGTGTAATTTTTATGCTCTTTCTCCTCCAATTTAATTTGAAGCGCATTAACTTGATTTCATATGTCAAGGCTGACATCTGTAGGTGTACCCACCATGAGACTCCCACCGGGGACCAGGATCACTGGGAGATTTGCAGTGAAAGTGTTAACTATGTTTAAAGGTGTTTATTAAACTCAGGTGACTTGTTCTCAGGACAGGTTTCTCTCAGGAATACCTAGAAGGAACTTTCCAAAGGTTTCCCTTTGGCTGTCTCACAGGCAGAACCACCTGACAACTTCCCAGCGGAGCATCAGGCTGAGCAGTCACTGAACCCTGCCAGCTGCCAGAGCAGTGGGAGGAGGAGGAGGAGCCCCTGACTCTTCCTCAGCTGTCTGACATCTGTAAAGAGCTGCTTCTCCATGTCCAGCAGGAGCTGGGCTGCTGCACCTGGTGTCAAGGTACAGAAAAGCACAGCACAGATGCTGGAAACTCAGCTAGGGCCCAAAGCTGAGTGCTGCTGTTGGGTTTGGTAGAGGGTGCTGGGGTGGAACATCCCCAGAGCTCCCTGTGGTGCATCAGGCAGGCTGGCTGCTGCCCCAGGGCTGGTTCCTGCAGCTGTAAAAGCCACAGTTCCCATCCTGCCTTCAGGGAACAGGTACCAAAGATCTTTCTTTTCTTCCTCATCTCATGCTGTCTGTTTGCTGCTGTGTCTGGCTCAGTAAGACTGGGGCAAATCAGTGGTGTTTTCATATAGATCTTGCTGTGAAGGAGCAAAATTACTTCCTTTCCTTTCTAAAAAGAAACCTTCCAAAGTCCCCCACCCTGCAGGGAGAGCAGTGGCAGTTGAAGGTGAGGGCACTCTGACCTGCAACTTTTACCCAGGGCCAAGCTCTCTTCGCTGCCACTCTTCAAATATTCTGTTGTGTGTCTACTATTTTGTATAGTATTTTTGTTTGGCTTGGGTGATATATTTATTTTATAGCAGATAATATACAGTCCTAAACAACATTTTCTTCTGTGAACTCATTATAATGGTTTGTGTCAATCACATGATGTTCCATTCTTGCTAGTTACGTAATTGAATATTTTATATTAAGCATATTTTGCCTTCTACTTTCTTTTATTTTTTCCTCTTTGAATCACATCATTGCCTCTCCAAAAGTCAGGCATGAGGGCAGGCAGATGCACTGACCATATAGATAGCAAGCAAGAAATCCTCAATGAAACAGGCACATAAAAGTTCCCCTAACATCTACCCTCATGTTTGTAACTAGAGTGTTTGGCATAATAAAGATAACAGCAGTAGATAAGTGGTTTATCTCCATATATTGCCAGGAACAGAAGAGGATGATAAAGTATTGCTGCTAGCAAGAATCCAGAAAGTGCCACAGTTCAACAAGGTATTCTGTATTAATTTGAGTCAGCTCAGTCATTTTCACAAAGGGATTTTTAACAAAATGTGAAGAACAAGAAGAGGAACTTAGTGAAAGCAAATAGCTCAAATGGGTTTTTGTGGAATGTGGGAAAGTTGCTAAAAGTCATATTAAAATCAACAAAAGCATTCAATACTTGTCTTGCAGAAAAAAGGTTGTGTTTAAGAGAAAGGGTCAGCTGTTAAAAAATATTTGGGCAATATGAAAAATTACAAATCTTTTCATCAGGAATTTGGGACTGAATGGATGAGTGTGTACAGACCTAACAGTGACAACTTTTACAGCTGAACAATGCTTTTGCAATGAAATCCTGGCTCCATTCAAATCAATGGCAAAATTCCCAACTGCTTCAATGGAGCCAGGATTTCATGTGTATCTGTCTTTTTTCATTCTTCCTTGATATTTGTATCCCATCTATCTGGCAGACTATTGTCTGTACAGGTCAAAAGTAAAGCTTTCTATCCATATATGTCAGAGTTACTGTCTGTTTTCTCACAAAAAAAAAAAAAAGATGAAAAAGTGTGGCACATACTTGCAGTGCTGTATCATTCACTTCATTGCTCAGAGTAAAGAGAATTGTTTGCTGCATCTGCTAGGAGGACAAAATGTCAGGAAAAAAAGCTAAATGCTGCCTGTGTGTAATTCCTAACTCCAAAGCTTTTAAAGAGCTCTTATTTTCAGCTCTACATGTATTAAGTTTCGGATATGGGTATCACGGGATTTAGGCAGGGGCAGAATTACCTCAATGCTGTCTCCTCTTAAAAATGCTTCCTGAATATGGAAAAGTATTGCATGGGCAGGAAGGAAGGTGACTTTCATCAAACAAATCTGTCAGGCATTGAGACTATTTAACTCATCAAACAAACCCTGGTATTTGTGCCTCTGAATATAAGCATTAACCTAGAAAAATGAGAGAGATTAATGAAAATTCAAATTGAGAGAATGAAAATAAGAGATAAACTGCTGCTTTGCAGATGAATGAATATTTAAAAATGCTTAAATCCACAGAGCTTGTCAAAATGCACCAAGAAGTGCCCTGGTAAGTGAGAAATGACACAGAGATGGTAATAAATGTGAATGGGGAGCTTTGTGTTCCCCCTGTGCACTATTTGTACACTACAAAAGCTTTAAATGAATTGTAATTCTACCCTCACTGTTGCTTAACTTGGGGAAAATAACATGCAGCCTGCAAGTGGCTGGGTCTATTCTGTTTTAAAGCCCATCTGAGAGCACGTGGACATGGCAAACATTTCAAAATATAATGGGGAGCCTTGGAAAAGCAAGGAAATATTCAGATGAGTGAAAATCCTTTAACCATAGTCAAAGCAAGTTAGAAAAGAGGCAATAAATCAGCTGACTTTAGTCTGTGGCTGGTGTCATGGTCGATGAAACCAATACCCATGGTAGATAAAATATACATGATAATATGTGTGCAATTATCAAAGACAAAGGAATATGTCAATAGTGAGTGAATTTCATCAGAAAATGATGATTGCATGATAGTGATCTCCAGAAAGAATTCAGCTCCAGGCTAGACACAGAGTGAATCCAAGATCAGAACAGTTTTTTACAGTCAGTGAATAAGGACATATTCATAGTTCTGACATCCTCCAGTCTCTTAACTCTTCTTGTTGCTGTTATCCCTGACAGAGTAGATGAAGTTACAAACATTGCTGTGTAATTAACTTAATGGACAGCTGATCTGATAAAATTTATTTAAAATAAATATGCACATAAATTCTCAGTTTGGTCATAGTTAAATCTTGCACAATCCATGACACAGAGGTTACACAGTCCATCCTTTTTGGGAGGGTGAATGAGCATGGTATTTCCTCTGCAAGTGCTGTTGGAAACACTTGTGAGTAGGTCGTTAATCTTCAATGGCCAGTGGTCATTTCTGGAGCTGCCTCAGCAAATACTTCTGCTAGCAGTGTCTTTCTGCAGCATATTAGTATAAATTAACCCACTTGGGAAGTGCAAACAGCAGGGTTGATGAGCCTGGGATCAGTGCCAGGTTAATGCAGCAACACAACTTTTTTGTACCAGCTCATAGGCTGTGAGCTTTGAAAGCAGCAGAGCAGAATGCATCCCTCCATGCAAGATGTACTTTAAACATAGCCAAGACACTGAGGCAAACATCACAATTGCTGGTGGTACAGGGTGCCAAATGTATCATTTAGATTATCTCTTCAGCTGACCAGTGGAAGAGAAAAATAATTTCAGAGTAAAAAATTTCATTCTGCATTTCTCTGTTCAGTTTGTCAAGCTCTCTTTCTCCTGATTCCCTTGTCTTTCTCAAAGTGATGCTGAATGGTGCTTTTCTTACTGCAAATAAGGATCATGGAACTGTCCTTCTTCCTTTGGCACATTTGTTAATTTTCTTAGATTTATGTCTGTTGTTACTGATCAGAACTATAAACTTAGAACCTTAAATTCACAGAGAAAATCTGCAACAACCTTTGGAAGCTTGCTGTGAATCCCATTGACTGCACAAATTTAATCTGGAAGCCATAGAGAGGCAATAAACATGGAAACCCCTGTTGCCAATTAATTTGTTACTTTTCAAGCTACAGTGCAATCATAGCTTAATTTGGTTTGCCTCAAGAATCTCTTTGTGATATTTCTGTGAAATTCAAGACAGTGAAATTCTGGTTTAGGAGCCCAAGTTACTGATTGTTGCCAAAGAATTGTGTGCTGCTTAATTGAGTTTTGATGTTCTTGCTGCTATCTACAAACCCAGTTTTTCCACATGGCTTTGTGATGAGATCTAAATCTCTGTATCAAATGTTAAAACCCTTGGCACTTGCAAAACAGAAAGATTTATGTAATTAGCAGTGGCTGAGAAAAATAAGGTTATTCTCACCAGGGAAAGGAGACATTTTGTTTATCTAATTGATGCTTTTCCTCATGCAGAAGAGTGATAGAATTGACCTAGACAAAAATTTTCCCACCGTCAAAATCACAAAACCAAGATGACATAATGCACATCCTAGGAAATTAGGAGGGGAAACTTAACAGAAAACTACTGTATTTCATCCAAAGGGAAATAACATACTGAATGGATTAGAAGAAATGTCCTTTAAGAGTGGCAAAATCAATTCTTTTGAGTGATAGTTAAAGAAATTGTAGAAAGAAGTGTTTGAAGAGCATTGTAAAGGGAGAATCTTTAAATGGAGAAAGAGGTAAAAGAGATTGTTCCTTTGGTTTCCATGTACCTTGAATTTCTGGTTTTAAAAAATCAGTAGTTCAGAACAACAAAAACAGGAAATGATGTATTGAGATATTTCAAGTCTAACATCCCAACTCTAAAATGCACCTTTTTGCTCCAGTTATGCACAAAGACATTCAACAGGTCTGGAATGGACCTGCATGGTCCTTGTGTGTAGGGAAAGTCAACCTTCAACTGGAACAGGACAGGAGTTCTAACCAGTTTCAGACAACAGAGTCTTTCTTGAAACTCAAAACTACAGAGGTACAGAGAGCCTATTTAAAGGTGGTGAAAGTGTGACCCTAGAAATGAAAATCCTACTGTTCCCCCGTCCTAATTTTTAATCAGCTTGGAATCTATTGAATGTAATCTGGATATTTTGACTGAGTTTAATCAGATCAAAATTAAATTAATTTGATTTAAATGTTTTTCATGGCCATGGTTGTTCTTCTAGCTTTAAAGATACATATTTGTAACCACTGCTAACATGTAAATTAGATTAGAAGGACTGTGCAGAGTGAATAACATAATTTAGCAGTTTGTCTTCTATTCCCTGACAAAATAATACACCAAGTCTTTCTGAAATCAAGGCTGATAAATGTGATTTAATTGTGTCCTTCTCCTTAACAGCATTACTTCAGTATGGAATTTATATGCATCCATGAAATTATGCTCTTCTTAGAAATGAAATTTTGCTAGAGGTGCCTGGTAAGAAAGCACTGTGCAGCAAGGGAAAGGGAGGAAAACTCTAGCTTGAAGAAGAGGTTGAAAAGAGTCAGGAATCTGGAAGGATAAAAATGTGTATCTATTTTCTGTTGCTGAGTTGAGCCATTGTACTACTTTTTAAAGTTGGTTATCTTCATTTCCCTGCAGTGTTGAACGTCCCTGGAAGGGAGAGCCAGAGTTTGTCCTATGAAGCAGCATGGCCAGGAACCCTTTGGGCAGGATAAACCCAGGACAGGGGGAAGGCCAACCAGCAGAAATGCCATGAGCCCTTTCCCAAAGTGCCTGTGTGCTGCACACTGGAGCACCTGTGCAGAAGACATCTCCAGAGGTAAGGGTGAGGTAAAGAGCATCACTGCTGCCTGTTTAGATCAGACACCATCCAAGGGGGCTTCCTCACCAGGGCTATTCCTGCTCTAAAAGCTGGGAGTTTATTGCACATGGTGGAGTAAATTACAAAGAGAAATATATGCTTCCATGCTTCACTGACTGAATCAGAGCCTCAGTACCTGGATATGCAGTAAAAGCTGACTATTTCTTGCCTTTTCTGTATCTACTTCTGGATCCAGTGTGTTAACACCCGTAATTAACTACAGGAAATTAAAAAAAGGATCACACCCCTAAGAAGAAAATATTTCTCCTCCTTACTCTGTGCTAAGGCTTCCCTGGCAAGGAATTCTGTTTTTCTGCTGTTCTGGCAGATTGTTTGACACTGAGCAACTGCATTAGCACTTCTGGAACAAGGAATGAGAGCTGAGAGTTAAAAAAGCATTGTGGAAGCCTTCCTGCTTGAGACATTTAAAAATTAAATGACTGAAGCTTTTAGAAATTTAGTGTAATAGACTGATGCCTAACTAACAGGGAAATAAAGCAGATCGCCTAAGAGAATGTTTAAGTTTCAGTTTTGCCATGCCCTGCTGCTGGCTTGGGAGTTTGGCTGAACTCTTCCCAGGTAAATGACTCTGTTCCTGATTCTAAGCAGGCTCCAGGCAGGAAGAAGAGGCAAGAAAAAGGTCTTAGAGGGCACAAGTCTCTGGAGGAATGAGCTCAGCTGGTTGCTGGGCTGAAGTGGCCAGCAAGAGCAGCTTTCCAACCACCAAATGGTGCAGCTGAGCTTTGGGCCAGAAGAGACCAGGCCTGTCCAGGCTGGCAGAAACGGAACCCTCTCCCTGCCCCCAGTCTTCTTAGCATAGGAGGGAAGGTAAACCAGGAAAATATCTGCATAATGCCACAGTGCAAGAGGAATCAGTCCCCTGAGAGCCTCTGGGAACAGGTCCAGCCCAGGTCTGTGGGTGCCAAGGGCCAGGCCGCAGCTGCTCAGGAGCTGGGAAGGTCAAACCTCTGCTGGGGAAACCTCCAGGCCCATTAACATTTTCAATTAACATAAATCTCCATGTTTCCAAACAATTTTCTAGGAATTCTAATATAAGCACATATTTAGGCCCTGGACATTGCTCACAAAAGTCATATTTTGAAGAGTGACAAGTAAAGCTTCATCCTGCTTTTAGCCCCATCTGCTGTGTCTTGCCTTGTCTTGTCTGTGCTTCTGAGCCAACAATGAGGGAACTTTCTTTCCTGCTCAGGCAGATGTTTACCTTTCAGCACCTGAGATGACCTTTTGACTTGGGCCTGAAATTCTGGCCTTGCTGAAATGGGTGGAAGTTTTGGCACTGATTTTGACAGAGGCAGTATTTCATTCCAGGTGCTTTGCTCAATAAAGCATATAAAATTACAAAACATGGGCCTTCCCTCTTGCTCAACTTCTCAGTCATCCCAGGTATCACTGAGTGATAAACATAAAAACCTGGAGGAAACAAAATGGCATCTCAAAAAAGGCTCCTACATGAATAATTAAAATACCTTTCAATATATATAATAGGTACACCTATACACACAAGCACACACATATAGAAGATGTCAATGGGATCAAAGCTTTTCTCCAGCACTTTAATAGGTGGCATGCACCCTCACTTATCTGCTAAAATCAAAACCTGTGCGTGCACGTGCAGGTGCTGGGAGTTGCTTTTTCATATTGTTGGCATAGGGCCACATAGTAGAGCCATGCACCTTCATTTTTTAACAAGCCTGTGTTTTCTCAGGTGTTCATTTATCTCTGTGAAGAAGTTTCTCAGACCTGTAACCTCATGTTTAGCACGCTAATAGGAAGAGGTGCTCCTGCTGCCAATAAACAGGCCTTACTCTGTCTTACATCCAAGAATATAAAACCAGGGGGTTTTCTTTTTATAAATTTTTTTTTCCAAATATAGGAAATGTGATCATGGAATTTTAACAATGGGCATTTGAAACAGACTACCAAAGGATGTGGTAGGTTTTCTACCACTGTGAGTTCAAATTTGGATAACTTTCTAAAAAACATGTTTAGGTTGAACCTGCAAAATGCAGTTCCAGAGGCATGAGTGCTGTATGAAATATGTAGTCTGTGTTGAAATGGCTTTTTCTGGCTTTAAAAATCTATAATTCCATTTTGGTTTTGGTAACAGAGATACCATGAACAAAGGCAGAATGTAATTAAGGATTATATTTTCGGGGAAAAATAATGCTTTGAACAATAAAGCAGAGCTAAGGAAGGTGCAAATAACTATCCATGTGATTAACATAAACTCTCTGCTCCAGAGTGTAACAGCCTTTTAATTCACTGTTAAGCTTTAAGGTTGCAGCATGGATTGACTGGATTTTTGAGTGAGTGACTGAATTGTTTATATTGAATATCTTTTGGCAGTTTAGGAAGTGACTCTGCTCTTGCTACTTAAGCCCCATTAGAACACTTGTGATGTTTCTGCAGGCAATATTGTCAGTTCCCATTTCTCTCAATTCTCTGCATTTTGACAGCAATGAGCCAAATTATGGATTTTTTTCATTGTCTGAAAGGCTTTTGCTTTTCTGCAGCTGTCTGCTTCAAGGGGTTCATTTCTTCTCCTTTGCAGTCAGTGCAGTTTTACTGTTGTTTCTCACAGGCCAGAAACAGGGCTCTGGTTTTCCTTTTGTGCATTTATTTGATCTGAAGAGCTGGCTCTTGTTATCTAAACTGAAAGTCACTTTCTCATCCATTAGTCATTTTATGTTAAAGATTGAAAGTTTGGGGGATTTGTTGTTGATTCTAATCTCACGACATTTTTCTTTATTTGCTGTACTTGTAGATTCTGTATTTGAGAATTTGCAAAACTTGCTTTCAATGTCAACATTCAAGTACTTCCCATAAATAAAAAAGCTGGAGTCACTTAAAATAGTTCCAAAGACTTCTCCACGCAATCTCAGATGGAGCAGCCCATAGTTTCCTGATATTAATCTATGTTTTTATATTACATTGTAGTATTATATTGCCACTTGTTTTTTCTAGTTCTCTTGGATCACTGCTGAATGTATAAGGTTATGACAAGAATTTTAAAGAATTTAAATCTTTAAAGAATTGCAAAACTTAATTCCTGATTACTTTTATGGCACTCTGGAAAATGTGCTGTTTTCAAATTTTATTAGAATCGAAGATGCTTAATTCATACCCATTTCTGAGTTTCCTGATTTAGCCTGAAAAAAAAAAAAACCAAAATAAGCAACCAAAAAAAGATTACTTAAAACTTTATATTATTCTGAGTTCTAAAATGAGAATACTCAAGGAATGGGAGGACATATGACAGAAAGAGACTTTGGGGAAGGAAATTGGTGCACTCAGGTACCCAGGCATAGCCCAGCATGCTGTGGACAAGGTAAACATCCCTTGTGTTATTAATTATTACTATTAATTAATAATATTGAGCATAGGGGTAAGGAGAAAAAAGGCTGTAAATATGTTCTAGGCAAAATATTTGCAGTGCAATTCCATGTCTGGCTATTTTGGATAAGTATCTCAATTAGGGGCACTCCAGTCTGGGGAGGGATTGATAACATGGGTCAGGTGGACAGTAATTGTCACACACAAGTGTGGGAAATATTGCCCATTGCCAGTACTTTTCAGCAATCCCTGAAGTGGGCTGTGCTTTCATAAAGCTAAGAGGGGATTTTTAAAGTAATGTTTTTGTAAAAAGTGCTGAAGTTAAATTGGAAATAATTTTTTAACCACAGGAGCTGTGACTGTCATTTGAAACATCCATCAGGAATAACGAGCCAAGGTCTAGTTTTGATGGTTTATAAGTTCTGATACAGGCAAGCTTCATTTCTACAGAGGAATTTGCATTTAATCCTCTTTAAACTTCTCCTGAATTTTGTTTATGTGCTGATTTGGGCTGGGGTAGAGTTAATTTTCTTCACAGAAGCTGGTATGGAGCTGTGTTTTGAACCATCTATTTGTACTTTTTAAGTAGTACCTTTATAATGTGCTTTATTCTTTCACCAATGTTTGTCCCTCCTCAGTAAAAACCACACAGCAAACTAGATTTCTGAATGCATGTCCTCTGAAGCACTTCCCTAGGAATTTTGCTGAGCTTAAATGTCTTCACTGTGTGTGAGAAAGTAAATATACATGTAACAAAGAGCTCTTCCTTCCCTGGGCAAGAGCATGTTCTATCAGGGAAAAAACATTATTCTTGGCATGATAATTAAAAAGAAATAACACGTTTGAATAGTACCAGCCCACAAAAGCAGGGCTTAAAGCTGGCAAGGCAAATAAGGCATTCCAGGTTGACATTTCTTTTCTACTCTTGTAGTTACATGAGTGTTGTGCAGGAACCTTTGGCTTTGGTTAGTTTCTGTTGTAACTTTAATTCAAGTGAAACCATAAAATTGTATTTTAGATGTTAATTCTGCAGGATTAATTTTCTTCTTATTTTAAACGGACAGTAACAAGTGCAATACATAAATACCTAATCCAAAATAATTTAATGCAATAATTTAGTAACATTATGTGTGTGTATATATAAAATAACAATTAAATAACAGTATAATGTTTTCTATATCTTTTATATGAGATTTCTTTTAACAACCCCAGCATATTAGATAGGATTTGTTTATGCTCTCTCTTTCCTTGTCCTTCTTTCTCATTTTGTACCACTGCAATATTTGTCCCAGGTTCCTCCTCTCCTCCCAGGCAGAATGGCCCTGGCAGATGCTCTTAGCACTGAAATATCTGCCACTTTCAGGGGTAATTTGCACTTTTATTAAAGATCCATAAAAAAAGTTAAAATTTAGAACCCTGCAAGTTAAACATGGAGCCTTGGGGAATCTGTGAAGCTCTGAAACCAAATGTTCGGGATTTTTCTCTTTATTTTTGTCCTTTTTCTGACACGTGAATTTGTACAATGACCTCAGTATTGGGACATGGGTAAATACCAGAATGTTGCTTTAAACAGCTCAGTCCCCAGAGAGCATAGCCAGTACCTTCTGTTCCCTTCTGCAGGGAACCTGCTGAGGGAATGGAGCAAACTGCCAGAAAGAGCCAGCAATATCCCAACCTCTGTCCTTTTCTACTTTTTGCACTACATTCTCATGTCCCCCGATAAAAGTGTGATCAAAATATGCCCCTAAGGCAACATCACAGGAAGGAAAGGGAAATATTGCAACTCAAGTCCATTAATTTCCGAGTGCCCCCTCTTCTCCCAGCGGTGTCTGGGAGCTGGGATGTCCCAGAGGGCACCCTGGGGAGGGGAGGCTGGCCAGGCCATTCCCCAGGGGCAATGGAATGAGCATCTGGAAGGAGGGTGGCTGGCCACAGCTGCCAGCAGCCTCAGGACAGGCTCAGTCCCACCTGCTGCCAAGGTGCGGCTCTTCCTGCCCTACACCGACATCGTGTCTCCCACAACTCCTTATTGCTAGTCCATAAAACAAGAAAGACCAATATAAACCCTTCTGATGAGGTAAAAATAGTCAAAATATTCTTTCCCACTCCATTAAATAACAGTGTAATGTGTTGCTGAGGGTGCCAGGAATACTGGGAGCAAGAGGAGAGCAAGCCCATGTCACCACCCTGTGCAATCTTTCTTCTCCCTCACCACCAGCAGGATGAGCTGGGCTCACAGCAGCCTATGAAGGGCTCAGGACTTCCAAGAGAAGGAAACCTGGAGAGGGAGATCATGAGGTGGAAACCTGAGGGAGCCTCTGCAGATGGTGTCAGGGCTGCTATTTCCCCCTGTGCACCAGGCTGCTGGGTTCCTTGGGGACCATGAGCCTTTTGCAGGTCACAGTGTATTTTAGAAGGTTTGCTTTTGACATCATGTGGCCAGAGTCATTTGGAGCCTGATCATGCACTGAAGAACATGTCAGGAAACCACAAGGCATAATTTCTCTGTGTGGCAATAATCTGCAGGGAGCCTGTATAGCTGTAATGGTACATTGCTGCTTGCTTTAAGTCTGCCTTTGCATTAACTCTTCAATTTGCTTGCTTTGGCTTCCCTAACTCTTAAATACATACACACAGGATCACTTTGACATAGTAAAAATTCAGTTTCTGGAATTGGCTCCTTAGTCTCCAAAGCATGGAGCTCCTTGTGCCAGTCCTGCTCCCATGAGCTGCATGGGGTAAGTCTCCATCTCACCTTCCTTTCCTAATTTGCTGTGACAGTGACTAATTCCAAAGGCATTGGTAGCAAGCTAGGGATTTTCATCTGAAAAAAATTTACTATAAAATTTACAGGGACTATTTTTAACTGATATAAAAAGAAAAATAGTTTTT